AAAAAAGAGGTGCAGGGACTTTTTCTTTTTTGGTTGCTCATGACCAAAAAGCAAGGGTGATTCCACTGAAGCTCACCCAGAGCTGGCAGGACAGTGTGCCTGCTGCCATGGGCTTCAGCCCCAACCACACCATGAAAGCTTTGCAAATATCACCTGGGCTGTGGATGCCAGCACCACCCTCCATCCTGCTAGCACGTTGATTAATTACGAGTGGCTCTGTCTCTGCAGCATGGAAGAGATGTTTGTCTGTGGCTATAGCCCAGCTAGAAACTCAACTCAGGCTTAGCATAGCTGGACAAAAGGTCAATGTATTTCCCTTTTGTTTTGTAAAACAAACCTCTGTGGTTCGATGACAAGGCCATGTGTCAGATGCTGGACCACCCTCTCCTATTTCGTACTCTAAGTCAGACCCTGATGACATGAGCTCACTCCTTTAAGGCATCTTAGTGACAGTTTCTGGAGCTGGCTGGGGAGAGTGGTGACTTGGCAGTCAAGGAAGCAAAGCCAAATTGCCACCCTCCCTGCGCTGACCTGTGCTGCCTCCATCGCCTTCAGCTCCTTCAGCCTCCAGCGGAGCCGTGCCAGTGGCCCCTTGTCTCCCATCCTCCTCGTGGCGGCCAGGGCAGCCTGGAAGAGCTTCGGGGTGTCAGCCTTCGGGGGGATGATCAGCGGGTCTGCGGGTCCTCCCTTCTGGTCTTTGGGCTTATTGTTATTTTTCAGCATTTTTCTAGAGCAAGGAAAAGGAGAGATGATGTCACTCTGGGAACATGTTACGTTAGCTGGATTTTATAATGCAGAAAAGTCAGACTTTAAAAGGACTGGGGTTTTTTTTTTACACCTTAGGAAGGACAGAACAACAAATCTAAGTAACGCTAAAAACTAAAGTGAATATTTTAATAGATGTTTAAACGAATGCACTTTGACCATATTTATTTGTTCCCGAATTGCACCCACTTTTAGCTGTGAAGCTTTGGAGCAGGGCTGGGCTGGCTCTGGGCATCTCCATCCTCCCCAGCCCACGGTGAGGGACGGGTGCCCTCTGCTGAAGTGTGGCAGCTCCAGCCCGGATCTCCTTTTGAAACTCGTGCTCTGCTTTTTCTAAAAACCCACAGGCTAGAAAGCAGCAGCCCAACACGCACCTGGCCTTTTTACGCAGAAGCTTCTGAGACTCTGGATAATGCACCAAAATCTCGTTCAAGTCCTTCTTATCCAAAATGAAGAGGTTGGCGAAGCCGTGAGCTACGACGTTCGCTGTTCGGCGGTTTCCCCCTCCTGCCGCCAGCAAGCTGAGAGAGACAGGGTGAGATGCTAATGCTGCAGTTAATGGGCTCAGCACAACATTTGTAATGGAAAAATCTCCCTTTTCCCATCGTGTCCCCATCTTTCCCTCTCAGAGGACTCAGAGTTTAATTTTCACCCCCAATGAAATTTTCCAAGCCCAATTTTTAAAGACTGCTGGGAAACATTGGCATGGAGTGCTAAATAAAAAGTGATTTGCCTGTTTGAAGGTTTAAATATTGCATTTTACATGACTCTAGTGTCTGCTGGGCTATAGGGAGGCAAACTCTGTCACTGTGTTACAAATTGGTACAGGACTTTACCTGTCCGTGAAATGGACAGATTAATGGTGGGGGGCTGTTTCAGTGAAAGATCTGTTCTTATTCATTTTCCCATTGCTCCATATACTTCTGCTTACTGTCACCAGCTTCCCAGGCAGAAAACAGCATGATGACAAAAACAGTGGAAAAACTCCAACAGAAAAGCTGTAATTTGTGTAGCGGGTGCAGCTCAGTGTTTGCTGCTCTCAATTGAAAAGATTAACGGGGCTGTGGCCGATCTCCTCACCTCCCACCCTCCTTGCCCAGAGCCCACAAGCTCTGTATTTCCCCAGTTCCCTGGCAATGCTTCACTCACCTTATTTCTCCAAACACGGATCCAGGTTTCAGAGTCACCAGCACAGTTGTGCCGTCGGGTCCCCCCAGCACCTGCACTTGTCCTGCCTGGATAATGTACATCTCGCGGCCGATTTCTCCCTGCCATGAAGATGGGTGCTGTGTGGGGTGCCCAGAAACAGGGAGACCTTATGGATGCCCTAACCTGCAACTTGCTGGAAACTCCCACGAGCAATACTGCCCTCTCCAAGCTCTACAAACACTTTGTCCTGATGGTTCTCACTCCCGAGCATCCTCACCTACATCCCAAAGTCTCCTCCAGCTCTGCCGGCTCTTCCTGTCTGTCTTGCTGTTCATGGCTGCAGCAGAAGAGGTCAGTCTTTGCACAAGACCAGCTGCAACCCAGAAGGTTTTTGCCCTGAATTCCACCCCTGTGAAGTGGCTCGATGCCACAGTGATGGGCCAGACCTGGCTTTCCCCACTCTGCATTGCTTCTAGTGCCCTTGCAAAGCTCAGTCATGACACCGGGGATGGGAGGCACCCAAGCATCTCATTACCTTCTTACACACATAGTCACTAGGCAGGTAGACCACAGATCTGAGCCGCTTCAGCATGTCAAAGATCATCTGCCTGTCGCAGCCCTGAGCCAAAACAGAGCCAACAGTGCCGTTAGTCTGCACCAGCACGCCAGGCTCCACCAGCCAGGACCCGCGCTGCAGAGGGTACCTGGAAGAGGGCCACTTTGCTCACGATGTTGTAGTTCACTTCAATGGCAATGTCCAGCCTCATCTTGTCTGGCAGCTGCACCAGCAGCTCCGACTCATCTGTGAGACAAAGCAGAAAACTGGTTGTTTCCAGCACTGCATCTGAGAGTGCATCGTTGGTGTGGCACTGGGAAAGCAGTTTGTGTTTTGGTGGCTGAGGGCAGGAGCCAGCTCACTCAGAAGAGTCTCCTCCAGCCTCTGCCCACCCAGCAACCTGCAGGTCTAAAGTCAACAGGTGATGGAGAGCCACCCTTTGTGTGACCTCTGCCCTGACAGCTCTCAGAGACAGACAGGTAAGCCCGAGACAGCATCTTTCTTGACCAGAAGAGTTGGTGTGGAGATCCTGCCTGGTGGTTTACTGGTAGGGTGAGCTAGTGGGTTTGCTGTTGGACATGTTCTGGCCAGTGACTGCCAGTCACTGCCCTCTCCTCAGGGACTGGCAGGTGAGATGCTGGACTCAGTGCGCTGTGAGTGATGCTGGGTCACCAAGGTGCTGTGAGCCAGTGGCAGCCTATATACCCTATCAGTGGGCAAACAAGCCTGTACAGGAAAGAGTAAAATAAGCCACCCCCCGCCTTGAAAATGTAGTGACATTTGACAGTAACATTTCAGCTCTGCCAAGCAACTTCAGTAAAAGCCATGTGGTGCAAATGTTGACCCTCAGAGCTATTGGATCTCACCTAGCATGCCTTGTGAATGCCAAGTGTACTCGTACCACGTTTTCACCCGGTTCTGAACAATTTTGGGGATTCTGTAGGAGTTCATGTATTTAATGGTACTGTCCATGCAGCTCCGGTAGTAAGTTTGCCCTGCGGTAGCGGCGCCGACCACGTCTCTCATCTGAATGGGAGGAAGGGGTGGAAGAGATGTTTTAATTGCTGTCACTTATCCATCCTGCAGTCTAGAGCTATGCTGAGTCCTAACAGCACCTGCCAAATCCTTTTTGTCTTCCAACAATGCAGAGCAGATCCTTGCCCAGGGAAAACAAACCTGGAGGTACAAACCTGTGGACCAACCCCTCCTAAACCTTCCCCACCTGAGGTTGGGAACTCCCCGTGATGTCTGCTCACCTGCCCTATCATGACGGAGAAAGCAAAGACGCCCGTGAAGTAGTTCAGCAGCTGAAAGATGATCTCGAACAGCGTCTTGGGGTCTGGCAGGCCCCCGATGGTGATGAGGGTTTTGACTGCCCAGTAGTAACAGCGGATGTAGCTGGCAGGAAAAGAGGAGGAAGCTTTGAAGTTGTTTCTGGCATGAAGGTCTGTGTCAGCCCTCAGTACTGAGCTCACATCCTCTGCCCATGGCAAACCAGAGCCTTCTGAGAGTAATTATGGGTAACAAATGGAAAATTAAGGGGCTGCAGGATCCCCACCACACCTGCAGGTGCTTCTGGAGATGCTACAGGAGCAGAGGGACAAAGGGTCCCTCCAGAAACTTCTGTGTGGGATGCTCAGCTGCTCTGGCTACTCCCATGTTCTACTTCTTTCAGCCCTACTACTGTAAACCAGCAACGGAGTTTTAGCAACATTTACACTTTTAGAAATAGTCAGGGGAAAAAAAGGTTTGTGAGCAAATTGTTCACACGAGACTCAGGAGATGACAAGTGAATTCTTGATTCACTGGTCTTGGGCTCTCTCTTGGATATTATAGCTACGCCTAGAGACAGATACAGATAGTGTATCACACAAAATAACTATATAGCAGCAACATTAATGTGGGAAGCTGAGCCCTCAAAGGGAAGGGAACACCCACACTAAGGCTGCCTGAGTGACGGTCACTCGTCCCCACCTACACCCACACCTCACAGTAAGTTTTAATGTCCTTGCCCATGCCTTTTTTCAGCAAACTCTCATTTACTGCATGGTGCTAAATTAGTCAAATGTTACTCAGTGTTTTATTTTGCCCATGTTGTACAATTTGCAGGGGTGGGCATTCACTACGAGGCAGCATTCACGCTCATGCTCTCCCTGGGGCATCCATCACCAACAGTGCAACGGACATTCAACACGTGTACCTTGGAAATGCCACAGTGAGGGGATGGGGCAGCCACTGTCTGTAGGAATGAGGGTGCTGGGCTGGTCCAAGGGACCTGACACATGGTATCTAGGACCTGATTTTGTGGAGCATCCGTTGCTGCGTTGAACCTTTAGGTTCAAAGCACAGCCCCTCATCTCCAAGCACAGCTTCAAGCCTCCATCCCGACCTGGCAGCAGGTCAACGCAAACAGAAACAGGGCTCACACTGTCATCCTGCTCAGCCAGGGACTGTTTCCTTGGTTCCCAGCACCAGGTTCCCAGTTTTTCAGCCTCTTCGACCTGCCGTTGCCTCCCACCTCAGCCCAGCTGCAGCCTCCTCATCTTGCAGTGCTGTATATTACTGCACATCCCATCCCTCCTGTCCTCGTCATTCTCCCTGGCTCCGCATCTTCTCCTGGCATCCCCAACCCTTTGCTTCAAGGGTTTTAATGAACCCAGCTACATCCTAATACCTTTGTTCTTGCTCCAGCTCATCACAGCAAGCTGTGCTACATGAGGACCCAAGCCCTGGCTTGTACCTGTTTCCTTCCCCATCGTAGACCCAGCTGGTAGAGCCCAGTCCTTCGTAGTCTGATGCCCAGTAATAGAGGCAGGAGTTTACGTGCAAGCAGTACAGTAAATAGGCAGTGGTCCGAATCACTCTGCAAACAAAAAAAAGGAGAGAGTATGAGGGCAGATTATATGGTATATGCTGGGAGAAACACATCACCTCCAGCATCACAAGAAGCTTCAAAGAGATGTGCTGACAATGCAGGTCCTGCCAATGCAGGAACCACAGAGCACCCAAACATGTGGCCCCATGGCTCCCTCCCACAGCCCTGCAGCTCCAAAAGTGCCAGAAAAAGCAGCTTATCTGCTGGTGGCTCCTCTTCACCACCAGCACCCCTGTCCCTGCTGGTTTGGGGAGAGGTGATCCTCTCCCAGGACCCCACTTCTCACCTCCATCAGCCAATGCCTACATCAGCCAGTCCAGGGACAGTGGGGGAAAAAAATCAAAAACCCAGAACGGGTACGCATCAAAGCAAACCTTTGCAAACTCCAGTAGCAAACAGCAACTTCAGGCTCTCTCCCTTCCCCTCCCTCCCTTCCCCTCACCTGTAGATGTATGCCTTGCTCAGGATAGCCTCCATGCGGTCATTGAACTCGAAGAAGGCCAGGTACTGTGAGGAGAAGGAAAGCAGTGTGCTCCAGCTTTGGCAGCCCCCACGGGAGACTTACACCCCCATAAAACCCCACTCCCCCTCCATTCCCCTCCTGCAGCCCCTCTGCAGCATGAACTGCCATGGACAGATTTGACTCCATCTATAAGTTCCCTCCTATTCAAATAGGAGTGGGGTTTAGGACTGAAATGAAGTCTTTGACCAACAGCCCCACAAAGACTTCCCATTCACTTTACAATCTTCTTGTCATCATCGATGAGTCCAGCAAGCCATAGCTTACCCAAAACAGTGCAGGACTCCCTTCACAGCCCCTGAAATTGGTGTTCTGCCTGATTTTATAAGCTCCAACTCACCTTCAAACAGCGAGGAAAGCGTAAGAGTGGGTTGACACCGAATTTGAAGTAGAAGATATCCAGGGGCAGGAGGCACACCACATCCATCTGAAATCCACACAAAGAGAAAAACCTCTGTGGGGACCTGCAGGCATGGTGGGATGGAGCTGCAAGCCATGGTTCAGGTTAAAGATTCAGATAAATAAATAAGAAATGAAGGCGAACCTTAAAGCGTTCTGATCGCAGGTAGTTCTCTTTCATGGCCTTTTTATCAGTCTGGTTGGGAATAGGAGGAGGAGAGAGAGATAGAGAGAGGAAGACTGATCATTGCTTACAGAAAGGAAAGTCATGGCCAACACAGTCATGCCTGGCTTTCCTCTTCTGCACCACAACGGGGAAGATGCTCCCTGCGTGCCCAGGAAGGGGAACACAGCAAGAGGAGCAGAAGAAGACCCGGCTGTATGCCATCTTCATATCCTATCTTGGGGCATCCTGTGCTCATTTTGCATCCCAGAGAAAGCACATTGCAATGCCAGCACCACCAACACTCAATTTTACAGGAGGAACCTTCCTGTCTGAGCACTTGCCTGGGCCATGGGAAGGCTGTACCCTCAAGGTTTTATTGTACCGCCTGCTCACAGTTAGCAATGTCCGGCTGTGCCCAGGCCACTTGGTGTGTACCTCACCACACTGCTGGCAGCACTGCCCCAGAGCAGCACCTTCTGAGCACCCCTACCCAAGAACGGGGCCACACGCTTTCTAGATGTGCTAGTATTGACTTCAGGAGAAAAATACATATGTTTGGTGGAAAAAAAAGACTGCCAGCTTATCCACTACATGGCAGGAGAAATGCTTGCAGTCCTCCAAGAGTGGATACAGCTCTGATGGCCACAGCCATGGTGGGAGAGGTTGGAGAGCTTGATCAGTGACCAGCACCATCCATGCCATGTGGGGTGATGGGGATGGAAGGTCCCCACAGCCAGTTCCCAACAGGGAGTTGCAGCAGACTGCCACTCACTATTATGTCCCCGCCCTGAACAAACTGCAGCCGGGTCTGAAAGACGAGGATGTCCAGTAGATAGATGAGGTCGCAGAGGTAGTCCATGAGCAGCCAGAGATAGATGTTTGTTGGCGTTTGGTAGGGAAAAGCCCAGCGGACAGGGATCAACCAGCAGTTCCAGTTCCAGGCCATGACAACGAAGAACAGCCACAGCACGTACATCAGGTCTGCACAGAGGGAACCGCACCATGATTAGCTGGGGACACATCCTTGTCCGTGTGAATCCGCTGTGCAAAGGGGTTGTCATCCCCTGCCCCACCCTGAGTGCAGGGAGGAAACCTGTAGGAGATCTCTTAACAACAGCATTTAATTGCAAGTGAGCTGGGCTCTAGATGCAAAGTGAATCCCACCAGTGCAAAACACGCTGCTTTTTATCTGAAAGCCTCTCCTAACTGTGGAGGTTCAACCAGGTTTGCTTTTCCTTTGCTCCCACAACACCGACTTCCTTGCTTTGCTTCCTTCCCGTTGAGGCCGGGCTGAGCCAACGGCTGGCTGCTCGAGCCTGAGGGCTCTGAAACGCCTGGGAGACAGCAAGGACTAAGGAAGGAACTGAGTTCCTGTGGGGTGGCCACTGGACAGTGGATTTTTCTTTTCTGATTCTTATTTTTATTTGGGGTGTCCACACCACAGGGACAGCGCTTGCCCACTGAAAGCCTGAAAAGCAGAAGGCAGCTGCCCGTTCCCTGCCTGGTCACGCTCCTGACACCAACAGCCATGGGGAAGGATTTTGGAAAGCCTGTGCCTTGCCAGGGAATTTAAAACTCTGGTTTTTCAGTAGACAGGTATAAGCTAAGTTGCTCCTTGCTTAGTTGTCCTCCCTTCTCTACAAGGTTTCATCTTCTACACCTCCTTGCCTTGCCTTAACCCCTCTCCCTTGGCCCCAGCCTGGGCACACGCCCATGCTCCATCACTTACTGGCGAATGGGTCGATGCTGCTGGGGAACTGGTAGTTTTTCAGGCGATGCACCCAGGGTGGGTACTTGAAGGTGCAGCACAACATCTCACAGTAGTGCTCTTCCTCTGCTGGCTTGTCCCCCCCTGGCTCCCCTCCTGGGGGAGGCACAGGTGGTGGCGCTGGCGCTGGCTTGGCAGGGGCTGGGAGAAGCCACACAGTTATTTTAAAGGTCAGAAAATCATTTTACAGCAATTTGTTTTAAGGTCTCTAAATCATTAATAAAGCAGCTGTCTCCCTGAAAACACAGTGTGTGTGGGGACCCAGCAGTTAAACGCTCCCAGCCCCACTCAAACTCACATGCTGTAGGGCTCTCGTCATCCGAGCTGACATCAGGGTCAGTCAGCTTCTCCTTCACCTTCTCAGTCCTCTCTCTGAAGAGCTTCACCAGCTCCTGGAGCCGGGTGTTGACGATGGCACTGCTCAGGCTCGTGGCCGAACCGATGCGCTCCGGCAGGCTGCGAGGACACCATCAGGCATTTCATGCAGGTAGGAAAGCCCAAGGGCAGGTTCATGACCCATTTTTTTAACTTACAGGGTTCTGAATCAGGATTTACCCATATTTATTTGGCTACAGTGTAATCAGGAGAACACAAGTTAAGGTGGCTTCAGTAAAATACCATCAAGCAGCACCAGCCTGAGCCTCATCCTTGCTCTGGGATGTGTGATGCCCTCAGAGGGACTTGGGAAGCACCAAGACCCCAGTCTGAATTGCATGTGCTTGGAGAAAACGATCACAGAATAGAATGGTTTGGGTCGGAAGGGACCTTTGAAGGTCATCTAATCCAACCCCCCTGCAGTAAGATGTCGGAGTGAAAATGTGCACCAAGCCTCTGAATTTATAAACTATATTGTCTCTCTTCAGCCTCTGCATTAAAACTAGGTTGGATTCAGACCTTCACCTAGCGTGACTGAGAAGCATCACTATGAGGAGGACAAAAACAAGCTCATTTGCTGTAGCTCCAGGCTGATTCATTGTGATAATTAGCATAACGATTTCTGCCCAGGAAGGCAGCAAACTCCTGCTCCATGTGGAGGTGCAGACCCTCCTTCAAGGCTGTCCCCCCAGGTCTGCCAAGACCAGGGGTGCACGATGCACAGTTTGTGCTCGCTTCCTGCATGGAAGAGAAATGTTATTTCTCCACAATCAGCAAAACCAAGGTATCCCCATAGTGCTGTTGTGTATGTAGCTCTAAGGTGCATCCTCGCTGTGGAGGCAAATCCATCTAATCTTAGGGAGAATTTTTCTACCTGGATACAGGAAATCAAGGCAGCAGTTTCTGCTCCAGGGAGCATCATGATTGGGGTTTTTTTTGAGAGGTGGTGCGTTACTGTTAAACAGTGCTAGACCCTCTGTGGGCACAGCTCCCTCTCCCTTTGGCATCCCAGCACTTCCAGGATCTTTGCTATTTCCACTCAAGCCCTGGGATCTGAATCCCTGGGAACCTGGCTGATCGGAAGCCCCTTGGTCCCACCACACACCTTTCCTTCTGCTCCTCGTCCTGGCCCAGCAGCGCATGGCTGGGGGACTGGGGCACCGATCCCTCGTCCAGACCATCTGGTGGGGCCAGCAGCTTCTTCCTGCAGACACAAACACAGAGACCAAGGCTCGGCTTGTCCTCCGTCCTCAGCCAGCTCCTCTCCCTCCCCCCCCTCCTCCTCCTCCTCCTCCCAGGTCTCATCTGTTTCCACTTCTCCTTCTCCTACCAGGGTTGGTTTTCCCCTAATTTTTGGCATTGCCTGAAGTCAATGGGAGCAAACCACCCTGCGCCTTTGCTGCTAAAGCCTTGTTCCTTCCTGGACACCACTGAGCCCACGGCTGCACAGATATGCAGCCACCTGGCCCATTTTGCAACCCATTTTGGGCACCTGGCAAGATGCACAGAGGGTGAGCACCGCTCTCTGCTCATCCCCAGCACCACGCTGTCACACCACGGCACTTCAAGAGGCAGACAAAGAAGATGCAATATTGGTAAGGTGGAGGAAGAAAGTGAAATCTGGAAAAAAGGGAAAGGGAAGGTGCTGGGAACACCACCTGGCTCTGAGATGGCTCCGTAGCACCTTAAACCTCTAAGACAAAGAGTGAATTGCAGAGCAGCGGGTACATAACTTGGACCCTTAAATGACTGCTGGTACCTGCAAAGCCAAATGCAAATTGCAACAGCCAAGAATGGCTCCAACTTCAATAGGAGCCCCATAAATGCTGTCCTGGACGTGCTGAGCCAGTGGCAGATGTCTTCCTAGAACATGTGTCCTAACACAGCTGGTGGCTCTCTTTGGCACAGATGGGCTTCTGGGACAACTTCCTTTACATGTGGGCAAACAATGTGGCAGAAAGAGATCTGAATATGAAGACAAAAATCGTGGCCAAAATCTGGCTTGCAAACCTGCATTGAAGCCCAGAGTTATAACTGCGATAAAGAAATTGTCTTCTGCTACCACAGCTGTTGCTCTAAATCAGGGGTCCTCAAACTACGCCCCACGGGCCGGACACGGCCCCCCAGGGTCCTCAATCTGGCCTGCTGGTATTTACAGAACTCCCTGGCCCCCCTCTGCCGGGGGTTGGGGGGGAAACCCAAGGGCTGGAACCAGCTCCTCGTCCTCGACCTGCCCCCTGCGGCGGGCGAGAGGTGTGGGCATCTCCTCTGCCGGGCAGAAACACCAGCAGTTGCATTCCCAAACAAAACATGGCTGGATGTACTAGGAGTACAAAAGGAGTTTCAAATTAAAGAGCTTGGTCTCCATGAACAGGACACACAGCTTTTCCAGAACCCATTTTGTGTTGACATTGAAACTGTTGATCCGATTGACCAACTGGAATTGGCCGAACTACAGACTTGTGACTCGCTGAAAGATGCATTCACATCAAGCAGCCTTATTAACTTCTATGCATCTCTCCCCTCAGAGACATACCATAATCTCAGGAACCGTGCACTCGATATTGCAACCGTCCTTGGCAGCACCTGTGTCTGTGAGCAGACGTTTTCCCAAATGAAACATCTGAAATCTCCAATCAGACCCAGACTGACTGATGAACACTTGCATCACTTGCTACGACTGCAGTGACAAATATGGACCCTAACATTGACCACCTCATTAGCCAAAAGCAAGCCCATAGTTCTCATTGCAATATGATTTGTTTTTGTTGATTACAATTGTTCTTCATTTTCAATATTGCATTCTTTTTCCTGTTTTTTGTGCACTACTACAAATAAAATATGTGCAGTGTGCAGAGGAATTCCTTCATTTTTTTCCAAACTATAGTCTGGCCCCAGACAGTGTCTGAGGGACAGTGAACTGGCCCCCTGTTTAAAAAGTTTGAGCACCCCTGCTCTAAATGAATGAGGATTTCACTGACCCGAGTGCAAAATGGCTCGGTGCTGCATGTGGAGCAGGAGCAAGCAGGATGGCGAGCGGGGTCATCCTGCCACCACAAATCTCCCGAAGAAAGCCAAATGTGATGAACCCACCCAACTCCAGCCTCACTGTCTCTCAGATGTGCCCTGCTGGGACAGGGAGCACATGAACAAGACCAACAAAACCTTCCATCCCTGAATGCACAGCACAGGGGCAGAGGAAAACCACCAACACCCCTGTTAAAGTATCCTCAGATGTGGATGGAGAGGTTCCCAAAACCACATCAGTTTGGAGAAATAGTCCTGCCAAGGTCTGTGGTGTTGTTAGGACAACATGCACCACCTCTCGCTAGTCTCCAGCTGCCCTTCCCCTGCCTCTGCCCCCTCAGGGCACCGCACTGCCCTATTGCCCATCTTCATCCACGAGCAAGACCAAGACGCCCACATCAACAGCCCAATGGTCTCTTTGCTCTGTAAGGGGGACCCTGCAGAGAGGGTCATTGCTGGCCCCTCTCTTTGCCTGTGGCATGGCTCCCCACAGGCCACAGAGCTCACGTGGTCACCCTCCAAGTACATGCAAAGCTTTATCTGTCAGCATCCACCTGGGAAATAATGTCTCTTTTTGCTTCACATTAATAGAAGCCCTTGGAAAGATGTAAAAGGAGATAAACATCCCCAGGAAGGCTGCAGTTCCAGAGGCACATGAAACATCCCTGGATCTTCTGCAGTGCCTGTAGTTCATCTGTGTTCCCAGTAGATGCAGACATGAGAAGGAGCAGGAGCTACCCAAAAAGCAATGCAAACTTCAGTGAATTTTGGAAACTGGTGAGTGAAGAGCTCAGCGGTAACCTGGGATGTTACATTAAGTCCCATGGAGAAGATCATGTATGTGCAACCCTAAGTCCAGACCCTGGCAGGTCTAGCAGTTTCTCAGTCATTCATGGAAAAAAGGAACCTGCATGATAATTCCCTATAAAACAGTTGGTCCTTCGATACATTCCAGCCGCAGAGGATGTCCAGCCAAAAAACCTTGGCTTCCTCCAGCCTCAATTTTAATCCTCCCCCTCTCTGAGCATCCTTGTTCTGAAGGCACAAAGCCAGGGGGAAGATGCTGCAAACCCTTCCAGCAAAAATCCAAGAAGAAAATTGTTGTTTTTCATGGTGAAGGTCCATATCCAGCACACAGACCCCCTGCGCTCCGAATTTGGGAGCACAGACATATGTGTCAACAGACAAATAAGATATGACCATGACAAGGGGATCAAGCCCATCTCCAGGAGGACACACAGACAGGGCTGCCCCTGGCCCCTAAAAGCTTTAAACAAAATTTAACCATTTAATTTAAAAAATGCAAACAAGAGGCAAGGCTTTTTCTGCCTCCCCTACATGGCACGGGTGTGACACCCACTGCACACACATCACCCCGGCTCAGTGTCCAGACCTGCCAGAAACAGGGGGATCCATAAGGTTGAATAAATTTGCCTGTACTCACACTGTCAGGGGGGTGAGATTCCCAGGAGCTGGGGACCATACCTAGGCAGAGCCATACCTGGGGGATGCTGGCACCGTGCCGGGCACTGCCAGCGTGTTGGGAGCGCCAGTGGTGGGGACTGGTAAGTGGGTACTGTCATCCTCCACAGCATCATCTCCACCATCCACGTCCTTGATGTCCACGATGGGGTAATTACCTGGCCCATGGAGAAGGACAATAATTGCAGGTGAGAGGGGCGAAGGGCCCAGCCTGCAGCCAGGATGAATTCCCAAGCCCCATTGCCTTTCTCCTAACAGTTTGGAACATTTCTTTCTCTTTTTTTTGCCCAGTTTTTAACACTGGAAGAAGTGCCACCTGCTTCTTTCTGCTTTCCCAGCTTGCAGTGATTACAACGACTCCGTGCGAGCGTGGGGTCCCTGTGGTTCAGAAAATGATGGAGATGAGGATTATCAACTGCAGGTGTTATGCAGGAACCCAGGATTTCCAGCTGCAAGGCTGCCTTCCACGGTTTAGAAAATCTCCTGGATCTTCTGTACATAATCATATGGATCATGCAAGCTCCAAATCACACAAGCGTTTGCTTTCCATGCAGAATAATCATAGAATCGTAGAATCCCAGACTAGTTTGGATTGGAAGGGACCTTAAACCTCATCCAGTCCCAACCCCCCTGCCATCAGCAGGGACACCTTCCACTAGACCAGGTTGCTCAAAGCCTCATCCAACCTGGCCGAGAACACTTCCAGGGAGGGGGCATCTATTTTATTTAAATAGAACTTATGGCCTCTCCCTTTTGCAGAGGTAATAATGGCTTCTTGCCACAAGCAAGATTAGAAGCAGGAAGGCTGGATATTTATAGTGGGTAAGGAGAGATTCCAACTGCCCAAGGGAGAAATGGGGCTGGAATTATTTTGACTAAACGCCGCAGCTGGCCGGGCTGTGAAGTGTCATCCCTTTTCTTAGCTATATAACAAAATGCAATGAGTTCCTGCAGGTTTTATTCTAAGGGCGGTTTTCATACGTCTGAAAGACTCTGTGCAGCCCCTCCTGTCCCACGCTGACATGGGACCAGTGGATCAGAGAGTGGCTTGATCAAATCACCAAGAAAAACCTGTCTCGGTTACAAAGTGAAAACTCCATTGTGTGTAAGGAAAAGTAGCAGAATTTGGCTTGCTGCTTAAAAACAAAGCAAAGCAAAGCTACGGGAACGTAATTTGTACTTCTGGGTTGAAAGGTTGAACAGCAACCTCCATTTATTGCCCTCTCGATATGAGCAGGTTGCACGAACGCTAAAGAGAAAACTGTGTGTGCAGTGGATATTTAACCCTCTGCCTGCGGGCCCTTTGGGAGAGTTTCTGGCCAAGCAGGTCAAAATATACAGTGTATAGTTTACAGATATTTGCAAACACTGTCTAGGGACTAGTTAGAAAGGCACAGAGTGATGAGGCAGGAGCAGAAAAAAACATTGATTTTGTGCCTCAGTCTCTGTGCTGTTTGTTGGGTTTTTTTGGTTTGTTTTGTGTTGGTTTGTTTTTTTCCCAAAAAAAACAACAAAAAGCGACTACTCCAGGAGTAACCCCTTGGCCTCCTCAAGCTACGCAAGCCCATCATCAAAACCAATGTCTCTAATACCTAGTGGGGATTGCTCCTCATTGCAAAAATTGGGGTTGACCACTCCAGCCTTTGGGATGCTGGTGACAAGGATGGGGATGCGGGAGGCAGTGGTGGCTCGGTAGCTGGGGACATTGGGGAGCTGCTCTAGCGTGCCGCGGCCAGGAAGGGAGGCGTCCCTGCCATCAAGCGGCTTGTCATGCACCAGCTGATCTAGCTCGACGTCTCGGGCACGCTTGGACATGCTGCTAGGTGCCTAGGTGCTTCAAGCAAAGGACAAGGCATCTGAAGCTGCAATAAAACACAGAACGGTTTGAGATGGGACGGTTGGGTCAGGGCAAGGAAATGCAGAGGTGCTGGGGTTTTTGTTGCCACCCACCGCTCACGGGTGTTGGTAGCAGCGGTGATGAGCATCCTACCATGCACTGTTCTAGCATCGCTGCAAGATTGGGGTGCTCTGCAGGGCTGCGTGGGCAGTGACTTCTCCAGCCTGTACCAGGGCTCAGATCACTCCCTTGGGTGGAGTTATGCCAAGACCTGTCTTTGCTCACTCAGGTTGCGATGGGAGCTCACACCACCTAAGTTTCATTACCAACCCATCACCTCCTAAAAATTTATATTAAAATACATTTTATGCCACCAGTTATTTCCCAAATGGAGCAAAGTGGAAGAGAAAATACTTTTTATCCCCTCTACATTCTTCAGCTGAAGGAGAAACTCTTATTTCATGCCAGAGGTTGCTTCATCAAGTACACTAAGCAGTGTATAAGCAGCAGCCTTTCAGAGCTGGCTCCAGCTGATGACAACATTGCCATCGCACTGTGCCCATGGGATGCTTTAAGCCAGTGAAAAGCCCCACTTGCCCACACAGGCCCACACTGCAGAAAGCTCAACTGCCCGCTTCCAGACAGCGAGAGTGGGGAGGGAGAAACTGGATTTTCCCCACACCAGGCATGGCACTGCCTGCCTTAGTTCTTCCTAATTTCACATTATACTGCTATATATTATACCTTCAGCATCAGTTTCAGTAGCTTCAGCTGTCTCGTCTTCCACCTTCAAAACAAAAAAAGTCATTTTAAGGAGAAAAAGACCAGTAAAAGAGCAGACTTTGCAGCTTGATTGGATGCCCCATATCCCCTGACCATTCACCAGCCTCTCAGCTTGTTGTTCAGTGCCAATGTTTTAGGGTGCAAGCACCCTTCCCTTGGTGCACAGCTACTGCTGCTGTCTCAGGTTCAGAGACGGTGTGTTGGGTCTGGCTGGGGTGGAGATAATGTTCCCCACAGCAGCCCTCAGAGCGCT